TGGATGATCTCGGGATGGCACTTGCGAAGGGTCTGTAATCTTGTGTGCATGGCGGTAGTTGGTGAACCGTTTTAACAAAGAGTCATACATGATCATACATGTATGTAAGAAAAAAAACTATTGTCCCGTTGTATCGTGGAGCAAACGTTCAAGACTTCTTCCTGACGTGGCACGAATATTCCATGTGCAGGTGCCCTTTTTTTAGAAGCAGAATATGTTTTTTTGCACCAAAAAAATCTACAGCTCGCGAATTGTGTGTACAATTTGGTTTCTCTGAAAATAGGGTACCCCCACATCCGATAGATTATCATCAGTAGTTATCATCAGTTGTCCTCTGAACATAAAAAAAAAACATGGGGAATACATACCGCAGTATACCACATACCCATACATACCCCACGTTCAGACAGAGCCAGATATTTGTTACATATGATCCCACAAAGTGGCATGGTCACCCTCCTGTAAACGCTTACGTAGGTGTGGAAAAGTTACCATTTGTAGATCATTTTATTAGGGACTTTCCACTTTTTTATCCCCCAACCGGCTGCATAGGTAGTTTAATCCCTTAGTATGTTTCTATGAGAAAGCAAAAAAAGGACCAGCAATTTTTTTTTTGTGGACGATTGGCCTTGATCTGTGTAAGTTTACCCGAGGGTAGCGACCTTTAACCTGGGGGCCAAGTTTCGGGACAGGTACATTTCATCGAGAATTACCACAGTGGTGTATTGGACTTGGAGCAGGAGGTCCTTTTTTGCGGAGGAATGCAGGGACCAATCATTTTTATGGGGAGTAAGTAATTGAGGCATATTTATTATAGTTTGATTTATTTGGAATATGATTCAGAAATTATTATAAATTATTCACATAAAAACTCTGATTGGAAATGATTGGAATATGTCCATCAGATTAATAGAGGATTTACAGTAATTGGAATTTGATAATATTATTTTGATCGGATAAATATCGAATGAGAAGTTCATGGTGGTGTTTATAAGCGACAATCTACGACTTCGGTTTGTCTGAAAATGTTGGATTTGCCAACATGAAACAGCAATATTACAGTAATGTGGACGATGATGACATATAATGGCCATCATGGCCCCCAGACAGTAAGCGTGGTTGATGAAGGTAGGGCCGAGTATATCCACCATTTTTCGACCATTGTTGCAAGGGAAATGGCCATTGACCAGTTGATTTCAATACCGTTGGGATCCAATTGATATGGTAAGTGCTGGTTTTTGGTTAATATGTATATGTTAATATGCGTTAATGAATCAGCAATATCCAATCTGTCAACTAACTAGACGGATCCTTAAACAATTAAATTCCAAACATCTCCAGGATAGATAATTTTAGGTCCGGCCATAGTTGGTACTGGGGTTTGCCCGTGGATATAGCAATTTTCCGGTATGTCATTGATTATATCATAACATACCTTATATCATTCCCATTAAATTAACATAGACCCTGCCTAAATGGTAGGTTGAAAGATTAGTTTTTTCACTTTCAGGTTGACCACTTTCAGGGTCGAACTGTTAACTACTGGGGGTCTCGGTACCTCTCGGTACCCTCCTTGGATGCGAAGTGGATCTCTGGTCCAGGTGCGAAACATCTCCGTGGATTTTCATGCGCTGAAGATTCTGAGTCAGTCCGAGACCTAGCGGGGGCCGGAAGGGGAACTAACCTCTGGTAAACTAACAAAAAGCTATTGAACATGGCCATTTATAGTGGATTTTCCCATTAAAAATGGTGATTTTCCATAGCTATGTTAAATTACCAGAGGGTATTGAAAATGGCAATATATAGATGTTTTTTACCTGTTAGTTTACCTGAGGGTATCCAATTAGACCCTCTACTGATTTATGTATTGATGATAATTATTGATGTTTGATTTGGGAATTGTGAACAATCTACACAAACAAAAAACAAACTCTCACTTCCTTAGTACAGGGGAATGCTTCACATGCTGAGAAACAAGGGCCGTGTGAAATGTGTTCCAAATATGAACCTCACCGTTTAGAGAGAGAGAGAGAGAGAGTTTGCCAGGTGTATAGGGATCAATATATTCGGCCCCTCTAGGTTCTTAGGACAAGTCTAGGGAAGGGTTGTGCATTGTGCAAGGTGTTTTTGGTTCCAGGAATATCGCACGCAATCTGCTGATTTGGCGCGTGGAAAAAATATGGAGCAGGGAATACCCCATTTTCAAACAATTTCAATCGGATCTCAAATGAAATGAAGGGTCTTCTACTTGCAGATTGCTGACTTGGATATGTATATTTCCGTTATGGCTTATTGATCACCCATATTCGAAGGAAGTTTAGAAGTCAAACTTCCGACAATATGGAGAGATGAAAAGCAGAGCAGGGAAGAGGCATAGAGAAGAGAAAGATTAGAAGAAAGAAGAGTAGAAGAGAAAGAGTAAGAAGACAGAAGATACAGATGCGCGAAAAGGTAGGAAAGTCGCGAAACACTGTGTTTTTCCAATGATTTGTGGCTCCGGAGGGTCGAAAAGTAGGCTCGCTAAAGCGGCGGGTGCGGAGCCAGCTGGCCAGAGGAGAGATGAAAAATTGCACGCCGTTGTGGCGCGAAGCACATTTCCAAGTGAAAATGTACAAAGCACACCATTCTCGGACCACTGTTGGAAGTTGAGATGTCAAAAAAGTGCACGCCGTTGTGGCGCGAAGCACATTTCCAAGTCAAAATGCACAAAACACACCAGGTTCGGACCACTTTTGGAAGTTGCGATGTCGAAAAAGTGCACGCCGTTGTAGCGCGAAGCACATTTCCAAGTGAAAATGTACAAAGCACACCATTCTCGGACCACCGTTGGAAGGTGAGATGTCAAAAAAGTGCACGCCGTTGTGGCGCGAAGCACATTTCCAAGTCAAAATGTACAAAACACACCATTCTCGGACCACTTTTGGAAGTTGAGATGTCGAAAAAGTGCACGCCGTTGTGGCGCGAAGCACATTTCCAAGTCAAAAGTGTAAAAAACTGAGGGTTTTGAGCTTTTTTTGACGTTAAGATGTCGAAAAAGTAGACACTGATTAACTTAACTAACTTGACTAACTTAACTACACAGATAAATACCACTGCACTCCATTACACCATCTTCCACTACACTTCACTACATTACACTGCACTACCCTCCACTAAAATATAACTACACCTGCAACTCCACAACTACACTCCACTACACTACACTGCACTCAATGACACTCAATTACACTACATTGCAGACAGACAGATAGATAGATAGATAGATAGACAGGTAGACAGCTAGACAGATAGACCGATGAAAGAGAGAGAGAGAGAGAGAGATATAGATAGATAGATAGACAGGTAGACAGCTAGACAGATAGACAGATGAAAGAGAGAGAGAGAGAGAGATAGATAGATAGATAGATAGATGGGTAGATAGGTAGATAGGTAGATAGCTAGACAGATAGACCGATGAAAGAGAGAGAGAGAGATAGATAGATAGATGGATGGATAGATAGATAGATAGATAGACAGGTAGACAGCTAGACAGATAGACAGATGAAAGAGAGAGAGAGAGAGATAGATAGATAGATAGGTAGATAGGTAGATAGGTAGATAGGTAGATAGGTAATGAGATGAAAGAGGGAAAGAGAGAGATAGACAGCTAGATCAACAGATAGATAGATACATAGAAAATAGATGGGTAGGTAGGTAGATAGCCAGAGAAAGAGAGAGAAAGAGAGGAGACCTCAAGCACCTTTCGGTCCGTCAGTGGCTTCGCTCTGCCATCCCTGATTCACAACAACCAACCTCTCCTATAGGTTTCCTATTTTTGAAACTTCCGCCACCGCCTTGTGCGGTACTACTGGTATATATACAAATTCAATCAGATTCATGTTTCATGATGTTTCCACCTTTGTGACAAAACCGTGCCCTACAATTTGGGATCCAGTCTCATCCTGACAGTATGGGATTTCCTTTTTCACATCACCATGGTAGAACGTCCTCGATGATTACAACCCCAGGGATGGTGTTTCAACCTTCACCGGGATGTACATCCAGATGCCTTCCGGACTTCTGATAGTTCGGATTCGCCTCGTCCAGAAACCCTTAGTAGAAAGCGGCTCGTTGTTCGCTGTGTCTGGGACAAGTCCCAAATCCACTCGTTCGTAGAATCATTGTCCCTATCTAAAATGGCCATACATGGCCATAGAGGAATCTTGGGAGTGGGGGTATACCACCAATATTTCACGTGCCATCCACAGCCCCTATGACTCGTGGCAGGTGCTGCAGCCACGCGGATGCCTTCATCGCTCAAGCGCTACAGGATTTGAGGCCTAGGGGATCACGGATTTTCATCATCTTAGATGTTGAATTAATGTTGACTGAGGTGTTCTGTTCATTTTTGTTTACATATGTTCAACGTTGTTCAACCATCAACTGGGTATAGATTGACAATTGACAATTGTGACAATTGACGATTGTTTTTTGTCATAGACGGGTTGAAACCACCAACCAATGTTGCTTTTAATGAATCAAAATTCAAAGATGCTGCTTTCACCAAACACAAGCACAAATCATTGGGGATTAGCAAATATCATCAACTGCAAATTGATGATGGAATTATGAGATGATAAATTGCTCTTGGACTGATGAACGATGAACCTTTGCTTTTCCCCACTTCCGGCCCTTACCCATACACGACCATAACCTCCTGGAAAAAAAAACAGGTACTGTAAATGCCGATTTTGTTCGTTCAGCACTTTATTTGGATTGAGTGGTCAAGCAAAGACTAGCAAAGATAAGCAAAGTATCCCTCCACATTACTTTGAATTTAACTCATATTAGTATTTTTATATATCGTTTGAGCTGGGTTGACACCATCAGCAAAAGTGGCTAGTTGTTGCTGACGTTCCAGTACATCGCATTTTCATGTCAATCATTGCTCCTCATGTCTTGCATAAGCAAAGCGAAACAATGTCAAATACCTGTTTATTACTATTGGATGACGTATATTTATGTATATCATATACATTCATATACTGTATGTACCATATCTGTACCATATCTGTACCATATCTCCAGTTTCCAATGGTTCCTTTGCCATTCTTGTGGATGCAATCCAGCGACGTTACCCGACAGTGCCAAGCCTGCGAGCTGTAGGCAGCCAGCCTGTGCCGTTCAGTGACTTCTCCTGCCGCGTCCAGCTAATCCTTGTATGGTCACACAAGGGACAAGAACTCGCACAACTGAAAGCCCATATAGATCCATAATATAGTATATGAATGTATGTATGATCATACAATAGGTTTCTTTACTCAGAGAATCTCGCCGGCGAATTCAATTATTGAGTCTTGGCAGACAGTGAAAGTGCTGTGCCATCGAACGAAGGGTTGCCAGAGAAAGGAGGCAGCCCTCGACATTTGTGGGGAGTTCGAGTGCGTCATCGTTGTGGCAGCAATGTGCATTGAAGAAGTACAAGGAACACAAGGATATTTCTCAAAGATCTACTGTATTTACTGTAGATGTACAGTATTTAATATATATATAATTATATATAATTAATCTGGTAAACCCAACTTCATACACCATCCCCAAGTCATCACCATTTTCATAGGGGGGATTCCAACCATTCCCGAATGGTAGGCTTATGGCTTATGGCTTTTCGTCACAGCAGCTGTGCTCATTCTTAGAGAGTGTTTCCTGACGTTTGATGACATTGCAGCCTTGAATTCCAAGACAACCTTAAATCAATAAATATATTACACAGCATATATATATAATTACATATTATGATTAAACAATATTAACATGTATGTTATCAGAAAGACCATGTGAACTTATATAGTGTGCGCAATCCCGCAGTGCACACTGAGAGTTTCTGGTTTCATTTATCGTTCGGAAAAGTACAGAGACAAAATACTTAATATGCGGAAAAGTACAGAATAGTACAGAGACAAAGTGTGAGTTTGCCTCAACTGGAGACCCCCATTTTTTTAGGGGGACATGATCGTATTCACCGCACATTAAACATCATTAGACCATATAAACAATATTGACCATACTATTACCCCTTTGATAACCCAATGGATTCTTGTGCTCCCCACAAGTTGCAACGTCCATGCCATGTCGGATCAGCCGATGTCAGCAGATCAGGAGCTACGTGATGTTTTTGACCGTCGCACTACGTGATGTGATTCGTAAGTGTAATCATTCCGAAATGAGTCAATTTCAGGTTGGTGAAATATGATATTTGACTCATTTGACGCACAAAATTGTTGCTTCTATGGCTTTCCAAGCCACAATTGGTGATGATCTTATCCGACAAAGATGGGGACACGCAGCCAATCATCTCTCAGGCTTCCAAACAATAGTTCAAACCTCCCTGGCCAGTAGTTGGTTCTGTTTTCGCAAGGACAATTATAAGATCAGATATAGAAGACATCAATAGCTCTAAAAGTTTGTAAGAAACTACTGTAGGACTTCCCAGTAAAAATCCCAGTATTGTTTCCAATGTCCATCATTTCTTTCCCTTTTTTGGGGGGGATTGTTTCAACAAAACGGGGCAGAAAGTGGGCCCCAGGAGCTCGAGGAAGACGATGCAGATGCTGATCCCAGCGCAGGTTGAACAACGACGAAATAGCACTGGGATGCTGATCCATCCGAGATCCAGGAAGATCTGGCAAATCCATTGTGTTTATAACATTTTATAACCTTGTATAATATAGTGTATTTCATAGCATAACATAGTATAACACAGTATAACATAGTATAACATAGTATAACATAGTATAACATAGTATAAGAATTAAATCATTTGTTTATAATCCATATGCTATATATGCTCCATGTATGGTATATTTACCTACATGACTGGGTGATTTGGAAGGGGCAAATGTTGGTAAATATTCCGGCACCATTCAGCATATGGGTGTGTTTATAATTTATACAGTATAACATATAGTATAACATTATTCCCTTGCATTTCTTTTTGTTGTACTGAATTTGTTTTAAGGTATAAGATGTTCGATGGTTAAGAATGTTTGAGAAATGTTTATGGATCCAGTCTTGGGGATATAAAATCAAAAGCATGCGGCCGTAGTAGGGATTTCATGGGAACTGCATGGGGATTTCATGGGATATTACGGGATACTCAGGGAATATAATGGGATATGACTATATTCTGTATGAGTGGGATACAGGAGGATATACAGGATATCACATAGGGATTTTGTAGGACATCACAAGATAGATGATCAACAACAAAAGGGAGTATTGAGAGTGAACATTATAATTAAGTATTGGATGTGTGGGGTACCAATTTGATAATTAACTTAAGATCCAGCACTATTTATGTTTGAGTACATCTCTATCATGGGGGGAGGGGAACAACCACAAGTTTGTCCCATCTGTGAGCACATATCATCTCCGATCGGCAAAATGCAATGAACATATGTAGCGAGCTCAGCCCCATGAAGATATTTGCTTGGTTACCATTGATTACCACTGAGTACTGAGTACAGTGATTTGGTGGTTTATATCCAATTCTCGGAGGTAATATGTACCTGCAGGTTCTTATGCTGGATTGCGAACACGTGTGCTTAAAAAAAATCATTGTGGCCAGCAGTTTGTTCAGGTCAGCAAAATCACTCTCTTGCTATATCCGTACGGGTCTTGAGTATGTGCGGTACCCCAAATCTTGATGTTCATGATCTTCATTAGTTGTTGATACTGTGGATGGAAGAAATCCTGCACCAGTTGATAAGTTGTTTATCCCATTAATTATAGGGTTTCAACCATACAAGGTGATGCAGGATTTCTTCCATCCACAGTTGTTGATAATCGATAGTTGATGGTTTATCATTGATAGTTGATCATCAATATATGTTCGATAGTTGATCATCATGTTCTCATGAGCATTGAATCAAATTGATGTTCTGGTGTGCCAATGACTTGAGCAGACCCAATGACTTTCAGGATTTCTCCCAGCATGTCCTAAACTCTGATGGTTTATCATTGTATCATTGTATCATCATTTTCTCTATGAGAATCGGCCATTTAAGGGTATACCAAAATCCCCATTCTAAGACACACCCTCTGATATTTACAGCCATATTTCAATCAAGATGATTCCCCCAGTCCTAACCACTGTGGTATATGAGATCAATCAAAGAAACCTCTGACCAATCGAAATGATCTTATAAATCTTCATGTTACATCATGACCTACTCATAAAAATAGAAGGGTTTATGATCTTTTTGTCCTATATAGACCTAGAAAACAACATGTCCGTCAGGTGATGGCAAGGCGAGGGTGAAGAGGAAGATGGCCATCGTCATCGGTTTCATTGGCACCAGGTCGGGCCAGTTGCGGGCCACGGCGGCAATGGCCCTTTGGGTTTAAGGGGCAAACATATTGCATATTTAAATGACATAGTGTGGGGATATGACGGGAATATCATGGGTATCTAACTCATGAACTATGATTTTGGGATTTTACGGAGACATTATGGGGATGTAACTATCATGTAGCCAACAACATGTTTTAAGGTGTGGTGCCTGAAAATTGGGGAAAAAAGAAGTTAAGGTCATATTTTCTTTACTGAGAAAGCGATGCAGAAAACCATTGGATTTGGGGTAGCCCATTTTCAGACAATCCCATTTGATTTATGATGATCTATTTAAAAATTGAGTGGAGTGGACTTGGGTAAGTTTAACAGGCTTGTGATGTCATTTCCTTTGTGGTGTCGAATCGACATTGTGCCATGATTGATTGATCGCTCCTCATGGGCAGTTGCAACCTCCCAATATTTATTTTTTCCTGGACTTCAAAACATCGCATGAGAGGGTGATTTAGCGTTTGGATCAAAGTCTCTTAAGTTTTTTGTGGAGCAGTGGGGCAGGTTTTTGGTGGTGTCAAAGTGTTCCAAGATATTACTATCATTTGGATCAAGGGATGATGAAGCCGTACAGGTACCGTGGCCTCATGATCAATCCGGAAGTGGAGCAGAGTGCAGCCAAGAAATCTGTTGAGGACGGCCCGGCCTGGACAGCATTGTCAGAAAATGTGGGAACCCTTGATTTCAATTTGATTTCTATATATTACTACCTACTATCTACCTACTTAGAGTTAGTCATAGTTACATATACATATATATATACACATTATCATCAACAGTTCTCCATAGTTTCCCATGAAGACACATGAAAGCTGCTGTTTGACTGAGTTTCTCTCGAGAACATCTGACTACATTTGACGGCTGCGATCCACCCCGGCTGGTGTTTGATTATATTGTGCTTGTTACAATTATATGGAGGTTTCCTAAAATGGAGGTATCCCCAAATAGTTGGTTTATAATGGACAATTCCATTAACATGGATGATCTGGAGGTACCCCCATTTCAGGAAATGTCCATGTGGGCCATGGGGTTTTAGGTTTCTAGCCATCAAACATGTGGGGATATAGAGTTGATCGATGATACTGATGGCTGGTTGATTAGTTCAAATAGTTCAAGGATAGAAACCAATTCTAACCAATACCGATTGGTGGTTTCACACATTTTTTATGTTCCATTTCATATATGGGATGTCATCCTTCCCATTGACGAACTCATATTTTTCAGAGGGGTTCAAACCACCAAGCAGAATATCAATGGGAATTCCAGGATCCTAAAATGGAGGTACTGTACCATATAAGGCCATATTTTGTGGGGATATTTCCTTACATAGCCCTTATATAGGTCTTATATATGGTAGGTAACTCCAATTTAGGTTCCTGAGATGGCCAGTGAGAATATGACTTGGGGAAGATCACAATCCATTCATTGGGGGAATCCCGTTACTGCCCGCGCCATCCCGCGACCAGGAATTGATTCGGGTGGCGTTGGTGAAAGCTAACATCGTCAGTGAGTTGAACTCGCAGAAGTTGGAACAAAAGGCCAACGTTGGAGGTTACCCTCTGGTAAACATACAAAAAAATACTTTACTTCGTGTGATCCCCACCATGACATTTATACATTTTCTTACTGGCAAATCTTCTGGCATTCTATCTGACATATCTTCTGGCATTCTATCTGGCAAATCTTCTGGCATTCTATCTGGCATATCTTCTGGCATTCTATCTGACATATCTTCTGGCATTCTATCTGGCATCTTCTGGCATTCTATCTGACATTCTATCTGGCATATCTTCTGGCATTCTATCTGGCATATCTTCTGGCATATTATCTGGCAAATCTTCTGGGATTCTATCTGGCATATCTTGTGGCATTCTATCTGACATTTTATCTGGCATTCTATCTGGCATTCTTCTGGCATATCTTTTGGCATATCTTCTGGCATTCTATCTGGCATATCTTTTGGCATTCTATGGCATATCTCATGGCATTTTATCTGGCATATCTTCTGGCATTCTATCTGACAGTCTATCTGGCATATCTTCTGGCATTCTATCTGGCTGTTGAGGTCCAGCGGTGCACACTGAGCTGGGCAGGTCCCCGGTTGAGGTCCAGCGGTGCACACTGAGCTGGGCAGGTCCCCGGTTGAGGTCCAGCGGTGCACACTGAGCTGGGCAGCTCGCAGGTTGAGGTCCAGCGGTGCACACTGAGCTGGGCAGCTCGCAGGTTGACGTCCAGCAGTGCGCACTGAGCTGGGAAGTTGGCGAAGAGCTTGGCGACGAGTTGGCAAGGTTGGCAAGGCGGAAGTGGAGGTGGAAGAGGCGGAGGCGAGGAGGAGGGCGAGGAGGACAGCTAGTCGAGGAGGAGGAGGCGGAGGAGGAGGAGGCGGGCATGCGCTCTGATAAATTCTAACAACCCTCACCTGGCAGGTGGGGAACTATGGAAAATCACATTTTTTATGGGTAAATCAGCTATAAATGGGCCATGTTCAATAGCTATGTTAAATTACCAGAGGGTATGGGATGGCTAGGTAACCACTGGATGAAAGTTCTGTGAGTTCAACGCGAGTTTGGTTAAACATCAAAATCGGCACTACTGACACTGACCAAAAGCCAGGTTTTTTGCCAGGTGGCACTGTGACACTATGTTTCTGCATTTGGCATCATTGAAATCATCTGGAACGATAACATGAACATGGCGATGGCCCTGAAGGTGAAATGGAGTCGATCCAGTCGAACAGATGCAGGGGTGACGGGGCTCAGCTCGGTATGCTATGAAACATCATGGAGCTTTTGGGAGCCCATGAAAGACCATGGGATATATATATATATATATGGAGCTGTGTATAATTATAATACAATATAATATCATATCATATAATATAATATAATATCATATATAATATAATATAATATAATATCATATAATATATAATATAATATCATATAATATAATATAATATAATATATAATATATAATTGTATATATATATATATATATCAATAAAATATGTATATATATATAATATGTATAACAAACTTATGGGCCACAAAGCTACGTGATTGTAGTCACCACATTTAGGTCCATTTGGGCTTAATGACACTTCTCCGAAACTCAGCATTGCGCCTCTGGTGCTCATTGATACCCCGCGTTTCCATCTGCAAGAAACGCTCAGTAAACGAACATAGATATGGAAACCCTGTTTGTTTCAAACAAATGATTTGAAATACTGTATAAAACAATATAATATCATATAATTAATATAATACAATCTAATTTATTCGATATTGTATTATATATATATATATGTATATTATATACATATAATATATAATTTGTTGAAATCTGTTGATTTTCTAGATCTATGTAAATTCATTCTAGGCGCTAGGCTACTTCCAAAAATGCACATCGAGCTAAACAGCAGTCACTTCTGTAAGTTAAAACGACCTCAGTGCGACCTCACTGGAATCATGGTTAATAAGAGGAATCATCCCAAAATGGCCTTATTTCAGGTTAGTAAATTATTATGATTTCACAGAAATTATAATCCGTGAAAAGTGTAAGGGTGTCACCACAGCAACGCCGGAAATGACATGATGGGATCTGTGAGAGTAACTCTCCCAACATTGCTGAAAAATCCGTGTATTATATTCATTTAACAATTGATTTCCACTCTTAAATATCAAATTTCCAATTATAATAGATATTTAAAACATACTTACTTTAAAATTAATACACCTGGACATAGCATGAAATAACTTCTATTATAAGTTTGCAGCACCTAACAGAAAGTCGTCGCTAGGTGAGCGCCTTACGCTTGGTCATCTCAGCGCGTCTCTTGGTGTCCTTGGAATCCTTGGACCAGGACTTCAGCCCAGGCCGCGTTCGTGCGGACTTCGCCTGATAATTACCCTCCGGTAATTTAACATAGCTTTTGAAAATGGCCATTTATAGTGGATTTACCCATTAAAAATGGTGATTTTCCATAGCTATGTTAAATTACCAGAGGGTAATTATGCTGTTTGCCTGAGGATACAATGGTAATACAATGGTATTGTTGTTGGGTTTCTTAAATAAAAACTGCTAGCCTGGTAGATAGCAGGCCGAAAAACATATTGTAAGATGATGGTCATAGCTTTACAATGTTTTACAATCTCCAACTGCAAAGTTGAAACCTGGAAATGATGGAGGGAACCTTTTCGAACGAACATCCTCCAAATACTTTGTTGGCATTTTGTTGTTGGGCTGCTTTGTCGAACAAACATGTGGATTTAATGACTATTGGGATATCTAACCAACAAATCATGGCAAATCATGGATATGATTGGTAAAGTACAGTTTGCCAGTAGACATGATGCGCCATGGCAAGAATCGGGCGTTCACACCCTTCCTTTTTAGGGATGCAGGTATTTTTCCGGAATTACTTGGAGGATCGTTTGTCTCCCCATGTTTCCCCATTGTTTACTGACCAGAAATTGAAGTATCTCATTGAACCTATGTGGTTTGACATGGAGCCGGGGGTGTTTTTGGTCTCAAGCTGCGCTGCAGAATTGGTGGATGAGATCAATGAGGGTCTGTGTGGACCTTAGCGATGTTTCGGAATGAACCTTGGTCTTGGTCAAGCGACTGGGGATATCAGTATTGTGATTGGTATCATTTCTTTTCTTGAAATTCCAACTAACCAAGCGTACATATACAATCACAAAAGAATCAGTATAAAGTACTCGTACCATGATTACAAGGAAATATTTCACAATTCACCATAGTGTCATAGTTCACAAACATGCCAAACAATTACACTATTCCCATAGACAGTATATAATGTGGGCAACCAAATAATAGACCTACCATTGGGGGAACGGTTTACATCACCCATGCATGGTGTTTTCGCACATGGCACATGGTTTATTGCTGGGTTTACCATGGTTTACCACATTGCATAAATTATATTGAATTATGGGTTTGTCATATGGCTACTGTACCCCAAAGCACTCGGGTTTTCCATGGTTTTCCCATTTACAACAATCAATTTCAAGGATGATAACGTGGAGTCCCATGACTTAACCTCCATTGAAACGTCCTGGCGGTGCAAGGCCGGCGGACATCCGCTGTTTCAGCGCTAAGAAGGTGCCGAACAGCTTCGATGCCAAACACGTCCGGGACCACGTTGCGGCCGTAAAAAGATCGAACAGTTGGAAACCTGAGAAAGACGAGAACATATCAACAATATTTCAACTATACTCTACCATTCTGGAAGCACTTGTCTTAATCTTTTTTGAGGTTTACTATGTGGACCAGATGGTGTTTAGTATTTATTGTTTAGTTCCAGTAGTACCGCACAAGGCGGTGGTGGAAGTTTCAAAAATAGGAAACCTATAGGAGAGGTTGGTTGTAACAACAGTTGTAAATCACGGATGGCAGAGCAAATCCACTGATGGACCGAAAGGTGGTCGGAGTTGTTTTTTGTGGAGTGGTTGCAATGGTTACAGTGGTCACCTCACCACAACTGCTGGATGTAGTGTGGTGTAGTGCAGTTGTAGTTGTAGGTGTAGTTATAGTGTTGTAGTTGTAGTATAGTGGAGTTGTAGTTTTAAGTTGTACTTGTCATGTAGTGTAATTAGTTTAGTGTAGTTGCAGTTGTTGTTGTGGTGTGGTGTAATTAGTGTATAGTGTATTGTAGTGTACTGTAGTGTTGCGTACTGTAGCGTGGTATAGTGTAGTGTAGTCTGGTGTATTGTAGTGTAAAGTCGTGTAGTTGTAGTTGTAGTGTAGTGTCGTGTAGTGCAATGTAGTGGTAGTTGCAGTTATAGCGTAATGTAGTGTAATTAGCGCAGTGTAGTGTGCAATGTAGTGTAATTGTAGTTGTAGTTGCATTTGTAGCTGTAATCTGTAATGTACTGCAGTTCAATAAGTGTATTGTAGTGTAATGTTTGAGTCCGTCTTAATAGCTGTAACGGTCAAAAAAATGTTTTCTGAATCTTTTGGGCGAACGTTGTTTTGAGTGCTTTCCTTCGTGCACAAAATCGTGCTTTTCGGTGCTTTCCCTCGTGCAAAAAATTGTGCTTAGATCGTGCTTTTTGGTGCTCTCCCTCCTGCCAAAAGCGTGCTCCATATCGTGCTTTTTGGTGCTCTCCTTCGTGCCAAAAATCGTGCTTTTTGGTGCTCTCCTTCGTGCACAAAATCGTGGTTTTTGTTGTTGTCCCTCGTGCCAAAAATTGTGCGTGCTTTTTGGTGCTCTCCCTCGTGCCAAAAACCGCGCTCTAGATTGTGCTTTTTGGTGCTATCCTTCCTGCCAAAATTTGTGCTTTTTGGTGCTCTCCTTCGTGCCGCAAATCGTGCTTTTTGGTGCTTTCCCTCGTGCCAAAAATCGTGCTCTAGATCGTGCTCGCTGTTACAGCTATTAGGCTTGTGTCAATGTAATGTAGTGTAGCTGTAATTGTAGTTGTAGCTGTGGTGGTAGTGGTGGTAGTAGTAGTAGTAGCAGTAGTAGCAGTAGTAGCAGTAGTAGTAGTAGTAGTAAATGATAGTAGTAGTTGCTGTTGTAGTAGTTGCTGTAGGTTCCTTTCTATCAATCTGAAAACGAAGCTATTCTGCGAGACTTCCTCAGTTTTTGAACTTGACAACATCAAAAACGCAGCAATTCTGCGAGACTTCCTCAATTGTTTGAACTTGACAGCGTCAAAAACGAAGCAATTCTGCGAGACTTCCTCAATTTTCGAAGTTGACAACTTCAAAAACGAAGCAATTCTGCGTGACTTCCTTCAAAAATAAAAGTTTAGTGCAGAGCTGACGGCCTCGTGCCAATGCGTTTTGCGATTTTTCCACTCCACCTGTCGAAAGTACTGCGCCTGCCACGAAAAAAGTGATGCCAGGTCATATGAAGTGCTGCACCTGTCACGCAAAATCCTCTCAGCAAACCTGAAAATCTGATCCTCCAAAATGCAACCCCTCTCAGGAAATCAGCGCCCGGACCCCCCAACAACTCTGATGAACATGTCTCTTGTAATGCGCCTGCCACGGAAAATGCATCTTTGCAGATCCTCTTCAAATGTCCCACGCCTGCCATCGTTTTTCGAAATGCTACAAAACCTTCACGTTTTGCTCACTTTTGACTAGGTGCACAATAATCCCTTTCGCCTGCCACGCGAAACGACATTTGAACGTCCAAAAGTGCTCCGTACCCCCTCAGTTTTTTTTACGCTTTTGACTTGGAAATGTGCTTCGCGCCACAACACCGTGCACGTTTTCGACATCTCAACTTCTAAAAGTGCTCCGGAGCTGAGGTGCTTTGTACATTTTGACTTCGAAACGTGCTTCGCGCCACAGCAGCGTTTACTTTTTCGACATCTCAACTTCCAAAAGTTGAGGTGTTTTTAATTTTTTCATTCGCAAATGTGCTTCGCGCCACAACGGCGTGCAATTTTTCATCGCTCATCTGGCCAGCTGGCTCCGCACCCGCCGCTTTAGCGAGCCTACTTTTCGACCCTCCGGAGCCACAAATCATTGGAAAAATACAGTTTTTCGCGACTTTCCTACCTGTTCGCGCACTTGGATTTTCTTTCTTCTGAGACTTTCTCTTTTTTGATCTTCTTTCTTCTTCTCTTCTCTGACTCTTCCCATCTCTGCTTTTCATCTGTCCTGTCCATATTGTCGGAAGTTTGGCTTCGAAACTTCCTTCGATAATGTTTTTCTTGTTCATTTATTGTTGGGGAATGGATGGGAGGGTCAACACCATGAATTACACACCGTTAAACTTTGGGCAGGGTATCAAGACACCATCAAGATCCTGTAGTGAAACCTGCGGTGAAACACCTAAGTATGGTCATTTTCCCATGATTTGTCTGGCATTTTTTTCAGGCCCAAACCATCCCCATGACGAAGGATGCCGCGTGAATTTAACTGCAGCTAGATGACCCCAAATCCCATTGTGAATCATCCTTTTCCTTAAAAAACTATAACGGAATGGTCGGAATGAGTATAAATTGAGGCGCCATCCCTCCTTTTCCGTAAAAAATTACCTAGACCTTCCAAAGTTCAATGATTTCTGTACTTTTGGGTTTTTGGCCGCAAATGACCGCAAAAAACCGCAAATGCCGCAAATAGTTCAAATTGGACCAATCGTTCAGAAACACACTTGAACAAAATTAAATTGCCAGAATGAAGCTGACTTGGCTTATCTTGGCATGCTAGATGGGAGTTTCTGCATTTTGACAAACAAAGTGGACCTGCTTAACGAATGGTAAGAAAACAAACCTGCCGGTTAATTACTAAGGCGCTCAAAGAAGGCTTTGGTATACACCAGACCGCTATAGACGTTGAAACAAACTGGATTTTTCCGAATAACAGAAGGCCCATGTTTTGCGCAAGAAATGTCCGCAGGCAATTAATTCCAGAACTGTTTTGAATTCAGCAAACCTGACGACAGTTTTCCCGCAAATTGTGTGAACAATTTCCCGCAAATATGCGCAAAAGTACGCAAATCGGGATTTTTTAACTGCTGCGGCTTCTGCATGTGACAAATCGCATCAAATCGCAGTTTGTTGGAATGAAAACTGTTAGTTCGGCAAACTATGCATGCTTCAAAAGAACGAGTTTTTCAAATATTCTAGTATTCCTGCATGTTTCAGAGCTTCAGGTTTTGAATCTTTTGGGGCTCCAATCGCCAACACAAACCCTGCAAATTTGGGGAAACGTTGGCATTATATCACCAGCAATTCCAATGGCTGAATTGTGAGGGACCCATTGCGGCAAGATATTTTAACCACCCGTGCCGCATAAAAGGTGGCAGTCAGAACTGCTACAAAGAGTTCGCTTTTTGTTGAAAGTGTTGACATTTTAGATAAACGTTCGAGTCGGCCCAACAGTGCAGAAATCCCAATCGTACAGAATTTTCTGTACTTGGAAGGCCCAGGTATAATGGACTGGGTATAAATTGAGGTGCCATCCCTCATTTTGGAACAAACCATGACAATCCCATATCCCATTTCATCATCGCGTTGATGATGTACATCCCATCCCATCCCATTTTGTCCGCATAACATCTAAAAATCACCCCTATTTACATTCTTGGAAATCAAGCATGCTTTGCTGGAGAATCCACTATTTACAGTTATGGCCCGAAATACCAGTTATAAGTACTAACAAAACCCCATTTATAGATTTTATAATCCCATAGAAATAACCAGTTATAACTAATAGCCATGGCCATAACTGTAATTAATTCCCATGTCAATTCCCATTTATTAGTTGACATGGAAAATCCACCGAAATGGGACATTCCCATTTATAACCAGTTCAATGATTTTCCCATGTCAATTCCCATTCCGGTGGATTTCCCTTGGCATCTGATGACGATGTGCGTACTCCAGGCCTGTTCTTGGCGGGAGTATGAGTACATCCTCCCCACACAGCTGGCTCAGCCTCTTGAAGGTCCGACCTGCAGCAAAGTGTCTCCTCGATTTCCGGCAAATGGGTCTGCAAAACAACACTTTGCATTGGGATATGGAATGGGAATATGTGGCAATATCAGCATGTTTGTTATTTATGTTGTAACATTCCATAAATAAAATAATTAAAAAAAATACATAAATATATTTACATACATACGTACGTACATACATACATACATATACATATACATATACATATACATAATCATACATTCATACATTCATACATTCATACATTCATACATTCATACATTCATACATTCATACATACATACATACACACACATACACGCATACACACATACACACATACATGCAGTGATGCATACATACAAACAGACAGACATACATACGTACAGTACATGCAGTACATACAGTACGTACTGTACATACTGTACATGCTGTACATACAGTACATACAGTACATACATTACATACAGCACATACATACACACATAGATACATAGATACATAGATATATACATAGTTAGATAGATAGATACATACATACACACACATATATACATAAATACACATACACACATACACGCATACACACATACATGCAGTGATGCATACATACAAACAGACAGACCTACATACATACAGTACATACAGTACATACAGTACATTCACTACATACAGTACATACATACCATAGCATACCATACCATACCATAACATATTATACATACATGCATACATTAGTTTTTTGTTGCCAAGATAGTTCATGTTTGGGTTTGTTTGAAGATGGAGGAATTACTCCCAAGTTGTGACCATGTTCACGAATCCCGTTGCCCTAGCATTAAATACCTACAACCCCCCAAGATGAATATATCATATATATATATATCCAATACTTTCCAATACCAAACTGGCGTTTATAGGGTGGTACTTAATGTTTACTTGAGAAAATAATGATCAGTGGGTGGGTTTTTAGTACCCTTTTTGTTCAAACACGAGTCTTACTGGTTGAGTAGTCATAGGGATCTGATCTATATAACAAGATCTCACCAACCAAAAACATGTGGTATAAAACCAACCTGTTTACGAGATTTTACGAGAACATAATGGGACATGATGGGTATACTGTATGTATATATATATATATATATATTTATGTATATATGTATATATATATATTTATATGTATGTTTATATTTAGATATGTTCTGGGTAAACCTTTGTTGGGTGTGAGTTTTCCCAAACCTGGGGAATATGAAATTGCCATGTTCTGTGGCGGAACTATGGGAACATGATTAGAATACACGTTTCGCTTTGGGAGGTTGATGCCTTTTTTTTGCTTTAAAAGGGTAGGAAAATTATTTGATATATATTTTTTTTGATTGTATATATATATATATGTATATACACATATATATATATATATAGACCGGCAAACAAATGTAGGTTTTCCAAGATTGGTTGTGTTTCATAGAACCGTTTCAAGGGATTGACAATGATGGGTGATTATTTTACATGATATGTGTTTGTGTTGAAGTGGGGTTATCTCATGTTATTTTTTAATTTGGAGTCTCATTTCTACCAATGGGTTGTCATGATGTTCCTTATCAAAATGGCCACAATCCAACGGACCTGCATCCAATCTTATTTCAGCATGTTTGCTTGGCACCAAAAAAAATGTGTGTAACTATGGCTTTGAACCTGCTTTGGATAAACATTAGGCAGGTGAAATCAGAGAGCATCAAGCAAATCCATGGATTTTGGATCATAGATTCTCGATGCCTTTTTTGCTCATTTGGCCATTAAACATGGCTGGAATATCCGCGATTTAGTTTGATGATTTCCCATTTGAATGCCCATTTCTGACCAATTCCTTCTCCTAAAATCCATTCGGAGTGCCTATCTCGGCCTATTGTTTTGGAGAAAGATAGCCATACAAAGCCAGATGAAAAAAAACAAAAACGACCTACGCAATGTTCTTTGGACAAGTCGCCTGTGCCAAGGTGATTCGACTTTGAGTGCGGCCTGGGCGCCCCAGTTTCATTGGAATCGCATTGGAATCATTGATGATGATGAATGATGATGAATGTTGTGGATTGTGCTTTTGGTGATGATCAGTGGACCAACAATGTTGATGAATGTTGTGGATTTTCCCTCTGTGGCTACGATTTCTGACCGCGTGAACACAGTTTGTGCAGAAGACAGAAGACTTCGCAGATTTGACATTTTTTTTGCCAGTCTCGGATCTATTGTGCTTACTTGGCAGAGTGCGATTGCGAGCGAGGAAGTACTTGCTGAAAGGCTACAAGGAATCATGCAAAGATTTGAAGGCGCTCAACCAGCTTCCAAACATCATATGGTTCACAGCAAACTCAAACGATGCCATACGATGCCCAGCTGGGCCACTGGGGTTTCCACAAGTTTCGGTGAGTCGAATGCTTGGAATCCCCATGGCACCGCAGGTTGCCATTCGTTCCACAACTTCACACGCTTGAAGGCGTCCGACTGTTTGCCGCGCGCCGAACGCGAGAAAGGTGGGCCGGGGATGGATCAATCAGGGGACATGCATGGACTAAATGTTGAATGA